CCATCCTTCCAGCTGTAGGAGATGCCTGCATTCTTTGGCTCACGGCTGCCTTCTTTCAACTTCCAAGCCAGTGTTGTAGGATCAAATCCTGCTCATAGCTGATCATCACGGTCTATACTCCTACCTCCCTCTGCCACTTCAAAGCCTTGAGATGATATTCAAGCTGAATGGATAATCCAGAAAAAACACCCTTCCTTACAATGAGTTGAGTAGGGACTTCCAGCTAAGATGGAGGCGTAGGTAGACACATCGTGCCTCCTTGCACAACCAAAATAAGAACAATTTAGAAACAAACACACACCGAAAAAACCCAGAACTGACAGAAAATCGAACTGTATGGAAGTCTGACAACCAAGGAGTTAAAAGAGACACATTCATCCAGACCGGTGGGAGGGCTGGAGTCAGAGGGCCAGGCACAGAGGGGGGCCTGGCAATCAAAGCACTGGCTGGCGAACCCCAGGTGCGCAGGTGGCAGCTGGCCGACCACAGGTGCGGGTGGGGTGAACTCAGCAAGGCAGGGGATTTTGGACGGGTGCAGCACTTGAGACGGCTGGCTAACTGGGCGGTCCCACATTCGTGCATAATTAACCTGGCAAAACTGTGGAGTAAGACAGACCACGCAACCCAGGGTTCCAGCACAGGGAAATAAGGCTTCAAAATACTGACTGAAAACACCTGTGGGGGTTGAGTTGTCAGGAGACACTCCCAGCCTCACAGGACAGTTCATTGGAGAGATTCACAGGGTCCTAGAATGTACACAAGCCCCCCACAGACAACTCAGCACCGGAAGGGCCCAGTTTGCTTGGGGAAAGTGGGGGAAGTGACTGAAATCCAGCAGAGGGCACAGCAAGCGCCACTGTTCCCTCTCGGACCCACCCCCACAAACAGCGTCACAACAAAGTGATGTGAGTTGCCCTGCCCTGGTGAACACCTAAGGTTCTGCCCCTCACATGTAACAGGTGCACCAAGACAAAAAAAAAAAAATGGCCCAAACAAAAGAACATATCAAAGCTCCTGAAAAAATACAACTAAGCAACGAAGAGATAGCCAACCTATCAGATGCACAGTTCAAAGCACTGGTGATCAGGATGCTCACAGAATTGGTTGAATTTGGTCACAAATTAGATGAAGAAATGAAGGCTATGCTAAGTGAAATAAAGGAAAATGCACAGGGAACCAATAGCGATGGGAAGAAAACTGGGACGCAAATCAATGGAGTGAACCACAAAGAAGAAAGAAACATCCTATCAGAAAACAATGAAGAAATAAGAATTCAAGAAATGGGGAGAGGCCTAGGAACCTGCAGGAAATCTTTAAACGTTCCAACATCCGAATTATAGGGGTAGCAGAAGAGGAAGAGGAAGAGCAACAAGTGGAAACATTATTTAAACAAATAATAAAGGAGAACTTCCCCAATCTGGCAAAGGAAATAGACATCCAGGAAGTCCATGAAGCTCAGGGAGTCTCAAAGAAGTTGGACCCAAGGAGGAACACACCAAGGCACATCATAATTACAGCCCCCAAGATTAAAATGAAGGAGAGAATCCTAGAAGCAGCAAGAGATAAGGAGACAGTTACCTACAAAGGAGTTCCCATCAGAATGTCATCTGATTTCTCAAAAGAAACCTTGCAGGCAAGAAGGGGCTGGAAAGAAGTATTCCAATTCATGAAAGGCAAGGACCTACATCCAAGATTGCTCTATCCAGCAAAGCTTTCATTTAGAATGAAAGGGCAGATAAACTGTTTCTCAGGGAAGGTCAGGTTAAAGGAGTTCGTCATCACTAAGCCCTTATTATATGAAGTGTTAAAAGGACTTATCTAGGAAAAAGAAGATAGAAAACATGTACAGTAAAATGACAGCAAACTCACAGTTATTAACAACCACACCTAAAACAAAAACAAAACAAAACTAAGCAAACAACTAGAACAGGAGCAGAACCACAGAGATGGAGATCACATGGAGGGTTAGCAACAGGGCAGTGGGTGGAGGAGAGAGGGGGAAATGGTACACAGAATAAGCAGTATAGATGGTAGGTAGAAAATAGGGGGAGGGCAAGAGTAGTATAGGAAATGAAGAAGCTAAAGACCTTATAACTATGAGACATGGACATGAACTAAAGGGGGGAATGTGGGTGGGAGAGAGTGTTCAGGGTGGAGGGGAGAGAAGGGGGGAAATGGGACAATTGTAACAGCATAATCAATAAAATATACTTTAAAAATGAGTTGAGTAGCACGAGTGTTGCACGTGCACAGGTTAGCACCCCATTTCTATGCATGATAACATACTAGCTGATTGCGAACATTAGAACGTGGTCATCTTTGGGCACAATTTCTCTGCCTGCTCCTCTCAGCTCCCTATTTGTATTCAACTCCTCTTACACTGTCTGGGTGTGCCAACTTTCCCAGAGTCTGCTAAGAGCAGTTGGCTGGTCGAGATCGAGCTGAGGGACATGTTTGTGGTGGTGGTTGACTTGGGGGTGGGGGATGGGGGGTCTGCCCAGGAACTCGGCAGGTAGCAGAAGTAGGCCAGCTGGGAAGGAGGGCTCTCCAGGGCAGCCACTACTACCTCCCAGTTTGGAGAGAAGGTTGGAGGGAAAAGGCACAATGGGCATGCTGAATCAGGGCTGAGGTTCAACCTCATCAATCTCCCTGGGGCCCCGATGTGTTTCTTTACTCTATGCCTCAGTACATGCCCTCATTTCCCCCTAGAACTGGAAGGCACTGAGATGGTCTGTGACCTGTGATGTGCAAGCTTATAGCAGATTATTGTGCCCAAGTGGGTCTCCCTATGGAAGCGGGAGAGCATGTGCTCAAGGAGGCAAGGGAGGCAGGTAAAACTAGCCTCTGCATGTTGCGTTTCTGCGTCCCATGACCCCTTCGGCGCACTTCTCACCTTCCTCAGTCTCGCCATCCTAGCCCCAGGGATCCCAGTGCAATGCCTGTGCTGGACTGCCCACATTGCAATCTGCCTGCACGTCTGTCAGCAGAAAAATCATCTGGAAAGTCTCTCCCAAACTTAGTCACTCAAACAGCATGTCACCCCGCCAGGAGATAGCCCCTGGGTCAGAGACACAGGCACAGCCTGAGCAACTGAGCCTACTTTCACAAATGAGAGGTTTGAAGTAGAAAGACGAAGTCCCACAAACACTCTTTTGTGGCCCTGTGGTCTGTGATGGTCCCATCCCACAGGTGATGGGTTGTCTGCCTCAGCTTATGCACAGGGCACAGGTGAGAGACAGGGTGAGAATGTAGAGGAACGGTGGAACTGAGTGTGCCCACTTACCCAGGTGCAGTCACTTTATTTTGCTTCATCACTGCACCCATGCTGCCCGTGCCCTGCTCGACCATGTGAGGGCGGTGTCCTGTGTGAGCTCCCTGCCTCTAGGATGAGGTGTGTCCTCTAGTCTAAGGTGGCCATCCTCCCCATGCTCACTCCAGGAGTGGTCAGACATCATAGGTCCGAACACTACAATCCACAGCCACCTCCAGCAACTCCGACATTTTCATATTCAGGACACCCTGCCTATGGAAGGTGTGACTTCTGCATACTCCCCACCCCCAATATGTTTGTGATGTAACACTACCTGTTGATAAAAGTAGATCCCATACTTGCTTTTACTCCTCCATGTGTTAAGGGCCTTCACTTACTCCCTAACCACACATTTCTCAAGGAACATTATCCCTGGTTAGGTTTATTCACTCACAGACACACAAACACGCACCCTACCTAGAGTGTCCTACGCACCACAGTCCCTTGTTTTGCATATTAAACACCAGTCTCTTGGGAACGGAGTCTGGCAGAAACAGCCCCCCAACCCTCTCAAATACAAGTGTGTCTTGAGTCCCAGGCCTGCACAGCTCTGGGTGCTGGCTGAAGGAAGGAACCAATTCCCAGCCAGAGTCACACTCAACCTCGTGTGACCTAAGGAGGGAGTGTGGGAGACTGAGCTGGGGCTCAGAACTACCATCACTAGGAAAACCTGAGTCCCAGGTGGGTCCAGGTGTATTTGAAAGGCACCATTCAACAACAGTGAGACCTACTAACCACCTTCACCATAGACACTGGCTGGCCACTTTCCACTGGAGGGTGTGGAGATGACTAGGCTACAGGAGGAGCATTGGCTGGGGAGGCCAGGAAGGATGTGATCACTGGCTCTGGAAAGCAGTTCCCCCAGGTTGGCCCTGAGCCAGAACAGATTCACTCCCCGTCCTGCAGCTCAGATTAATGTGCACCTTTTTTTCCCCGTGTTCCCTGAAACTTTCCCTTTGATGTGGAAGACCCTGGACTGGGGCCACTGTCTGCACCCCTCCAGTGAATCCAAGAAAGGAACTGCCAGGACTCACAGCCAAGGTTCAAAGATGAGAGCCAAAGGAGAGGAAAACATCCCCCAGGTTCCTGGGTGAGAGTCCATGTGCACAGGAGCCCCAGAGGGAGGGAAGGACTCCACAGTGATTGGTCCTGGAAAGGGGGGACAGGAGCTCAACTGGGCACTTTTACACCTCTTCAAATGCAGGTGCAGGGAAGGCCACCAGCAGAAATCTATGGAGGAGATCAAGGATGTTCAGGCAGCAAAGCAGGGTAGATGGGACACCCAGTGACAGATGGGAAAAGGGACTGAGCTCTCGAAGGGGGTCATGAGTGCCTGCTGAAGGTGAGGGAAAAAGCAGTAAGGAATGCCGTAAAACCCCAAATGCAGATGACAGCAGCATAGAACAGAATGAGGGACTGCACGAGAAAGGGAGGAAATGCCAATGTGGCCAGGCAGAGCCACCCAGAGCCCAGACGCAGGGCATCAGGTGGCCTGACTGACAGGCTCCTATCAGATGGTAGCTCAAAAGCCCGGCAGGCAAAAAAGCCCACCACAGAATTCCAGCTGTACTGCTGTGCAGAGCTCTGAGATGGAGAAGCTCCAGGTCCTCCCAGCCCAGAATCCCATGTCCACAGGCTCTACTCCTAACAGAGACCACAGAATTTCAGAAAAACTTTAATGTAAAATGCTAACAAACAGGATGGGGAGGATGCAAAACAAGGGAGTGCAGAAGCACTGGCTGAAGGGGAACAGGAGGGAACCAGCTTGGCCACAGCTCAAGGGGTACAATGGTACCAACTGCTCTTCTTGCAGGAAGGAGCTAGGTTCCACCTGTCAAACAGAGCAGAATCAGGGAGGAACGTCCACCCAGGGCCAGCGCACAGCACTCTTCAACAGCCACGACTGTGGGGAAGGGGTATGATGTGCGTAACACTCACTTCAAGATTTCGGGAGCTTCTCAGCCAGGGACTGCATGGCTGCTGAAACACAGAGAGGCATAAGCAGTCATTCCAGAGAGAGGAATACTGAACCCCATCCCCCTTGACCCTGGGACAAGGTGCCTCGCCCTGCAACAGAAACCCCCTGCAGAACCCTACCCAAGGAGCCCTGGGCCTGACTCCCTCCCCCACCACCTGAATTCAAGGTGGACATGTTTTCCAAACAGGACAACATGTGCCCAGGAGTGCTCAAGCTTGGGGGCATATCAGAACCACTCAGAACTTGTCAGACAAACAAGACCCACAGAGGCCATACCCAGCAGTATTGAAGGGAAAATCAGAGAGGCAGCATCTCTACACATCCTAGGGAAGGAGAGCTCTAGGACAGGTTGGGGCTGGCACAGTGTGCTTGCATTCTGAGCCACACTTTCCTCCTTGTCCAGAAAACTGGCTGTGCATGCACAGCAGGCTCCAGGGCCAGGCCTGGTGCGTTTGTCTCCCCAGAGGAATGTCAATGCCTCAGGCCTGCATCCCTCATCCTCCCCATGGTAAGACTGCCCATGGTCCTGACCCAGGCAAAGGCTACAGGGTCCTCATACCAGGTTGCTGTCTAATGGCATGTAGTCCTCTCTGGAGCTCTTCCAACTGGCCAGTAGACATAAGGGAAAGAGAAATGATTAGCACACTGAGGCTTCCTCTCCCTTCAATGCCCCTCCCTCACCTGGGAGCCTAGACCAGTTCTGGCTCCTCAGTGGAAAAGGAGGCACATGCCCTCCATAAGGTATGGGGTGGTGGTGGTGAGGTATTGGGGTTGGGGGACGGGTCACTTTAACACACAGTTCTCATCGACTACTTTGGTCTGCATTTCTAGGAACTAGAAGAAGCATTACCCGAGGACAAGCCTCTGCTCCAAGTGGTTGCTGTGGCTGCTGCAGCCTTTCAGGTCTTGAGAGTTCCTCAGGAGGTTCCAGGTCACCTGAGAGGGAAAGAACACAAAATCCAGCTTCCAAAGCTCCCAGGGAGGAAGAAAGGGCTTCGGGAAGGGCAACGTGAGGCAGCACCACCCTCTGCCGGCAACAAGGTGCCCCTGCTGTGTTCAGCACCTCCCTGCCTCTCTCTGGGCCCCCCTGCCCTGTGTCCCAGGGGTAGCCCACTCAGGACTGTGGTCCCAAAAATGTGTATAGCTCTGGGTTGAACACTTGCAGAGCTGCAGTCACAACCAGCCCCCTGGGAAACGAGCCCTGTGGCCCAACAGGACTTATCAGAAAAGGCCCTGTTCTGCTGAAACTCTAGGTCTGGAGTTGCAGTTTGTGACACTGCCACAAATGACCCCTGCATGTAAATCTCACACAGGAGATGAGGTGACTTGGGTCCCGCCCTGTTGACACCCTGTTTCCTGTGGGAGAAGTTCTCAGGCGAGGCAGGGAGAGAGGGAGAAAGCTGAGACCCTGGCAGAGCCAGAGCCAGAGCCAGACCAAGAGCCAGACGTCTCCTTCCTGGTCCTCTGTCCCCTCCACTCCAGCAAACTCATGGAACTCACTGGAAGGTGCGGGCCCACTGGCCAAGACTTCTTCTTCGCTCAGCGCCAAGGGCTCCAACTGTGCCGGATCCTGGGCATGTCTGTTGCTCACAGCGCCAGTGTCGGATTCTCCACCATACCCACAAGGAAACGAATGTGTCTGCCCTTGTGTCGGAGACTGAAACAAAAAGTCCCTGTTGATTTGAACTCCGGATGTGTGTACGTGGGTGAGTGTGGGACTGTCTGTGCTTTTGTGTGTGTAGGGGCTGGGGTGGGGCAGGGGAGAGAGAAGGCAGTTCCGAGACTGAGCTCCTCAGCACGTCCTCCCTCAGGCAGCCCTGGGCCAGGAGGCAGAGCTGACCTGGAGAGAACAGTGGGGTGCAGAGGAAGCCCAGGCCCCCTGCAAGGGAGGCTGGGGAGCACCTGTGAGGTAGGAGTCAGGCAGCTGACAGGTCTAACCATTAAAGCTTTGTTTCCCAAATTTTGCAGGGGTCCCCTCCAAATCACCTGTCCCAGCCTTCCCTTCCATCCAGCCCCTCTCTGGTGGAGGAGGCTGGGAAACTTGCCAGTTGTGCAGTGTGTTGCCCGGCACACTCAGAGTGGTGTCCTACAGACTGCCCTGCTGAAAGTAATGACAACCCTGAGGGACAGACAGAGGGAACAGAGGCACAGAGGCAGGGGTGGGCAGAAGGGTGGGAAGCAGGGAGAAGCATGGCCTCATACTCACTTCGCTCTCTGGGAACGGTTCTCTGCCCGGCTCCTCAGCGTCTCCTTCTCCCACCACTGGCTCGGACCCACTGTTCCTCTGGGCCACAGACTCCTGCCCAGCGCCAGTGGGCTTGGACTCTTTGGTTCCAATAGGGGCCAAGGCATGACTATTGCCCGTCCCAAACAGCGGAACACCACCAATCCAAGAGGAGGTGGCTGGATCCTGGGGAGCTCCTGAACCTCTCTGGCCCGGCATATGACAGAAACCTTCGAGGACAACTTTGGTGGCCCTCTCCAGGGCTGTCACCTCCTGGGCCACGTTCCCTCTAGGAGTGGCCTTGGGCAGCTCACCTGCAGCAGCCACTAAGGGCAGGTAGCTGGGCCCACTCCCAGCCTCTACCCAGGGGACACTGAGTGGTTCCTCAGAGGACACTTCCGGGTCCCTAACAGCCTGCCCTGCCTCGCCCGAAGACAGTGTTTGAGGCGCAAAGGACAAGCAAGGACCTGGCATGGGAAGGAACTTCTCCCTGGCAGGGCTGCTCCAGGGACTGCGTGTGTCACTGAGGCTTTCGAGTTTGGCCCAGCCCCCTCCTTTCTGACGAATACTCCCCCCTGTGAGCTGCATCTCACTGAACTGGTCAGACAACTCAGACTCAGACCACGGCAAGCTCTCCAGGCCTTCCTCGAAGGCACGCTGGCGATCCACACTGGCTTTGGACCTATACCTCACCCCTTGCTTAGGGCTTCCCCAGACGCAGTCTCCTTCAGGCCCCCTGAAGTGGAACGAGACGCCCGGGGATATCTGCGATCCCAGCCAGCCATGGGCCCTCGTGCCTCTACCCCTGGGACCTGGCTCTGGCTCCAACCACACAGTGGACACCTCTCTGTCCCTGCTCTCTGGGAACAGGCTTCTGCGGGAACCCCAGCCATCTCGGGTGCGCAGCCGCTGCGGGAGGGGCATTGCAAACGTATTGCCAAATAGGGCCCAAGTGGCGCCCTCAGAGTCGGCCGGGGAACCACTTCTGCCTTCCCAGCCCTGGGCCACCTGCTCTGCCACTTCCATCACATGCTGGTCGCCCACGAAGCCCTCAGAATCTGGGAACTGGCCCTCGCCCTCACTCTGGCCCTGGTGCTCAACCTCGCCTTCTCTGTTCTGCGGCAACTCCCAAAGCAAAGCCTACTGCGCCGGCCCTCTGTCCGCTCTCTGGATCCAACCCCTCCCTGGAAACAGATCCCTCGTCCTCGTTCAGGGAGCTCATGCTGCTAGAACCCGAAAGTCCAGCTTCTGCCGAGACAATTACCCTGGGCAAGGTGGCCTTGGCGGGAGAGTCTGCTGGCGGGCGGCAGGAACACCGAACCGTCTGCGGAAGCCAGCGGTCTGGAACCTCAGGGAACTCCCCAGTCCAACCGCTGGAATGTGTGACGTCCCAGCACCTTTGGCGCCAGGATGCGGCCCGCTCATTGGCCCGCCGCTCCAGCCCAATCAGCACATCCCTTGTATGCAGGCCTGTCGAAGCCCTGGCCAATAACCTGCAGGGTCTCTGGGGGTCTCAAATCCCGCCAACGCGGTGGCCGTTGGCGGCAGATCTGGCGGATGAATTCCAGGGTGGTGGGATGTCCTCGCATCACTTCCGGTCCCGCCTTCCTTGGCCAGGCACCTGCTTTCCAGGTGGAGTCGCAACACTGAGCCTCAGTTTCCCGTTCACAAAGCGGGGAGAGGAGGGGACCTGTCTGGTGGCGGGCGGAGGACAAGCATGTAGCACACAAAGGGTCTGCCCGCCATTATTCAAAATTTAGACTTCTCACCCAATGGGTGAAGGGGCCCCAGAAACCCGGGGTGGGCCTACTTTTTCTTAAAGGGCCAGAGAGCGAAAAGTGGTCATATTGACTGGCTGTAGGGTGCCTACCACCACTCAATTACCGTTATGAGGTGTGACCTAATCAGGCAGTGGCTAGGTGCTCAGGAAACTCCTGGCGGGGCGGGCCGGGTCGGTTTAGTGAATGGGCTGGGGTTTGCCCCGCTCTCTCAGCATGTCCCCATTCTGAGTCCATTCAAAGAAGAAGGAATCCCGAAGGCCGGTACACATGGCAAAAGATGCTCGCCGTCATTGATCCTGGTGATGTGAACTGAAACTATATTTCGATTTTCACACACCAGGTTTGCAACCATTCCCAATATGGGAGAGATGAGGAGCGAATCAGTGCTTTGCCCTCTGCTGAGGCAGTGTGGCAGGGCGGCCCACATACGGGTGAGATTTGGCGGGCTTGTGCTGCGGCACAAAAGACCCATTTGCTAGGGTAATTTGACAGGATTGAGGAAGAGCAACTTAAGCAACACATACTGCGTGCCTCGCGCTGTTCTCCATAAGCACTAACACATCCTCACGACAGTCCTAGGAGTGAAGTGCCCAGTGTTGGTGCCCTCTGAAGGGTGAGGAAAGATGCAGCGGGAGGTTAAGCCACTGGGCCAAGGTCACTGGCTTGTTGAGATCAGCAGTAGGATTGAAACCAGACAGTCCTGCTCCAGAGCCCTTGCTTTAAGTGGAAAACCTTAACACTGCAAAAGCGCCCATTTCCTCTATGACCCAGCAAGTCCTCTGACAGATAGATCTTGTGGGACACGCTGGTGCAGGTAGTGTAGCAGGACACGTGCACAAGGGTGCTGGTGATGGGAGACACTGGAAACACTCTAAAGTCCCATCAGCAAGGAAATGGGTGAATGCAACATGGCATATGCATCCACTAGATTAAAACGCTGCAGTCAAAGCAGTGTGGGAGGCTGTGTCCTAGATTTCAAGGGCATACAGCACGTTGCACTAGTATGGAGTTGGTTACACTTTTGTAATTTTAAAGAAACCCTACTCAATCCGATATAATGTGTGAGAATACATCTGGGGTGTACATACAGACTTGTTTTAAAGGCGTGAATGGATGCAGAGCCAAGGCTTTGCAGTGGGCAGGCTGAACAGGCCACTCGCTGTCTGTGAAATTTTCCTGAACCGCCCTGCTCCCAGCTTCCTTGAGCCAATCAGTCCTGGCACTCTCTTGGTTTCTAGAAGGCCTCAAGGGTCAGAATTTCCACAGGCTTCTGCCACCTAACACCTACTGCCACAGCACTCCCCCCATTCCTTCCATGTTTCTCCCTCTCTTTCCCATTCAGACTCCTCTGTCCTTCCAGCCACCTCTCCCTCCTGCATCCTACTCCACATGACTTCCAAGAGAGGCCTGGGGTGTGTGAACATCTGTTGCTAGGGGGCTGGATGGAGAAGTCTATGGGGCAGGGAGACTGGGTGCACTCGGAAGTTTTGCTCATACTCCTGAAGTGTGGCCCCTCTGCCCCCCACAATCCCTGCCTGTGTGCAGATACCGCCCTCCCCCACTTGTCCCAGGGAGTTTTAAAGACATGGTGTGTTATTTCATATGTGCTAAAATAGACAGTAAAGGACAGAGAAAACTCTGTACCCACCGCTGTCCTAGGAAACATTCCCCATCCATGCAGGGCAAGCCTCTGACATCCCTCTCACCATTTCCCTTTTCTCCCCCCTTCCCTCCCTCTCTCCTCCATAGAGAGAATCCTAAAACTTCTTCACACCTCCTCCACTTTCTTTAGCCCTGAGGCTCTACTGCCTCCTCTTCCCCTGCATTTTATTTGTCTTCAATAGGGTTGCTAATCACTCCTAACCCCACCCCCCACCTGGGGCTCTGCAGGATGGTGGTATTGGTTTTGACCTTCTATCTTAGCCTGGGGTGCGGCCAGAATCAGAGGATTCAGTTGGCTTTACCCACCTGGATGACTCTTTCCTCACAGACCAATGACACTGTGGGCATCATTGTGCCGACCTCCGAGTCCATAACTTTCAATGATCAAAGTTGGGGGCTGGGTAAATGACCACTGTTGATCCAGAGCATGGGCCAGCTTACTGGAATGAGACTCTGCCCCCAGCTCCTTTTATTTCCAGTGCCTCATAAGTGCATACTAACAGGCCCTCCATCACAACACTCTGGGCCTCCAGGATTGATGTCAGCTTAGACCCTGTGTTCAGCAGTCCTGTCAACGTCTGGGTATTCACCCAGCCCCCAGTGTACTGTCACCTGAGCCGCTGAGGAAGCTGCTATGAACATTTGCGTGCAGGTGTTTCGTGAATGTTGGTTTTCATTCCTCTTGGGTATATATCTAGAGTTCGTTCGCTGGATGGAACACAAAGGGAAGCATGTTTTTTAACTTTGTAAGAGACTTACAAACTGTTTCCCAGAAAGTCTATACCCTTTTACATTCTCCCCAAGAATGCATGAGAGTCCCACTGGTTCCTCATTCCCTGTGGCCCTTCCCATTCCCTGTATTTGTTTTTTTTTAAGCCATGCTTATAGGTAAGTTGTGGTATTTCACTGTGGCTTTGATTTGTGTTTCCGTAATGGTGAATAAGTTTGAACATCTTCTCAATAGCTTCCTGGCCATGCATTCTCTTCTTTAGCACAGCGTCTGTTCAATTTTTTTGCTCATTATTCATTGAGTTGTTTCATTTCATATTATTGAAGGTTGAATATTCTTTACCCCTTCCAGGTACAAATCTTTCATAAGTGTGTTTTGCAAATATTGTCTCCCAATCTGTGAGTTGTGTCTCCATTTTCATTTTCTTAAAAACATATTTTCTAATTTTCTGTAATTTTTAAATTATTTTATTTTCCTCTTACGCATTGCGTTCAACACTAATTTGTATTAGTTTCAGGTTTAGAGCATATAGGCTATTAAAAAATACCTCTTGAGATATGTAGTTTACTTAATACATGTTTAACTCATTGATAGCATCCAAATGAGAGGGTGACATCAAAGGATGGTGCAACAGGAAGGCCCAGACACACTCCTTCCCCCCACACAGACATTAGCAAGAATAACACATGCACCAATCCCCTTTGTGAGAAATCCAGAAACCAGTTAAGAGGACTCTGCACCCCTTTGGAGTGAGAAACCAACTACAGTGATCCCTCACCTATAGCAGGAGTTATGTTCCAGAGATCCCCGCCATAGGTGAAAATCCTCAAAGTAGCGGCATTATATTTATTTTATTATTTATATAGTTTTTAAGACTTTATAAACCCTTCCCACACTCCTACAAGCCTTTCCCACACTCTTATGAACACTTCATATGCTCTTAAACACTTTCTACACTCTTAAACCTATGTAATTTTAACAACATATAAAATTCTATATGGGTACCCACCAGTGAAGTATACAGTTGTCCCTCACTATATTGCAGTTCACCTATTGTGGCTTCACTGTATTGTGGGTTTTTTAAAACAACTGTACATTGAAACCAATGGTAAACTTCATGGCTATCATTTGCCAAAGTCGCTGCCCCTGGCACAGTGCCAGTGCAGGAGGAAACTCCCAGCTCCTGCCTTCTCCCTCAGGAGAGAAAGAGAAAACCATTTTTATACATCCCTTGTTCCAGCTTTTCAGCAGGCTTCCTAGGAGACTGGTTCCTCTCTTGTGTGAATCTAAGCACCACAGGTCCGGGGTTGCTTTGAAGAAAAGCAATGGTTCGGACTAGGACCCACTCACTGACCAGTTCCTCCTCCCAGCAGAGTGTGGCAATTGGGAGAAAACTCCTAGATCCTCAGCTTCTCCCTGCAGAGGGAAAGAGAGGAAAGAAATGCATGTCCAACTTCCAGACTTTTTGTGAGGATGCTCAAAGAATAAGCTTCTACCTTGCCTGTATCTAAGCACTGATAGGAAAAGTTGCCAGGTTGGGGCGGGTTGGGGGCCTCAGAGAACAAAGGCGACAGTTTGGACTGCTACACATGCCCCTGGCCCAGTGAGGAAAGGAGCAGGAACAAAAAGCCCAACTCCCAGCTTCTTCCTGGGGAGAGCCAGAGTTGGAGCACACATCCAACGTTTGGGCTTTTCTGGGGCACTGCCTGAGAGAGTGGTCTCTGCCTCCTCTGTCTCAGATTGCTGATATGCCTTAGCATCTTCTACATGCCTGGGAGCACTGTTGAGAATAAAAAAGAGTTGGTTGGGTAATATTCCATTGCATATATGCAACACATTCTTTTTGGTCCATT